TCAAGCTGCAAAACTCTGTCATTTATTTTCAACAAAACTTCGTCGGTCGCGTCCCTTTATTTGATTGGAAGCCTTGAAATAACCCCCGTTTTGTAAGTAATCAAACATTCGCCCTTCAATCTAATAAATGAGTTAAAATGTGGACATTTTAGAGCTTTCTCTAAATAACAATGCCCCGCCACAAAAACAAATCGTATACGAGATTAAACTCGTATATTTAAGTTGTATGCTAGGGCAAAATAAATAAAATGCAAAACTTTCCGTCATCCCTCATTAACAAAATCAGTCAGACCTGAATATATATATATATATATATATATATATATATATATATATATATATTATATATATATATATATATATATATATATATATAATATATATATATATATATATATATATTCTTCAGTGTCGTTTACTGTTTCATTAAGAATCAAATCAAATTGAAATCAAATCAGGGGACAAGCTTGTCAAGTTGCATTATCCACAAAGCAATAAATGGCAATATTTTGACACAAATATTTTAAGATTTTATCATGAAATATTCATAAAACCTCAATAGCAGTATAATGATAAACGCAAAACCATCAACCGAAGAACTATGAAATTAAATAATATCATTTAAATTAAAATATCTTAATCATATAACATGAGTCATAATTATATAACAATAAATATTGTTGTTAATATGTATGACATACTTTAACCTACTATATAAACATCAAACTTTTAGATTTTAGATTAGTAATAATTGGTTTTCGGAACGTCTGGGAGGTTTTTTTTACAGTCCGATCACGTTCTCTCTTACATACAGTTGTTGTATCAAAGGTCAATAGAAATGCTTATATAATATTCAATGATTAATAGGCAATAAAAATATGTTTAATTGGTACGCATGTACTTTGTGGTTTAGACGTACATATTTAACAAATTTGGGTATGTTAATATAATTTAAGAAATAATTTAAGGGACAAGTTGCATGGAATAGAGAGAAATAAGAATTCCTAAAGAAAGCCCAACACGGCAAAATTGAAAATGTTGCAGAATCGGTTTGATTGAACCTGTTCATTGATGATACTGTCAAGTGCAAACTACCGACCACGCCCCCTAGCACCGGCTTAAGCAAAATTCAACATTTAACATGAACTGGTATAATTAAGAATTTTGAAACATCCACAAATGTGTTCATATGGCGGTTATCATGGAACCTTCAATGTGACACGTTAGTGCCATTTCATGAAAAGCGGCATATGGTCCCTAAGTAAAAAAATGCGTGTGCCCTAAACGAGAAAACAATGGGCGGAACTAAATGAAATGAAATTTTGAGAGGGGATCTGAGGTTATGAAGCCTGCATATCACAGATATGACGTCAAAGACAAATTAAAAAAGCAGGCCACATATCCTAAGGGTGATTAAACAGTATTCAAGTGAGGAATACTGGAACCACCCAACAAGAAACATGCCGAATATAAAGAAGCCTTTTTGATAAGGCATGCGGCTTTCATGTACATGCACTTTTTAAATACATGTACATATGCAAAGCCGTACAGGTCATTCATACATCTTGATTACGAGGGTTGTCCAGAAAGAAAATTATTTACTCTAAAACAATACATAAGTTTTACAAATGTTGCCAGCAAAAATATACCTATCTAACAAAAACATTCCCATAAAATACTGACCTGTGATTAATGTTTATTTTGAAACAGTCTTTACAACCAACATATATACATCGTCACGGAACATTTCGTCAACGTCAACTACGGCGTCAAATGAACCCGAGGTTCTTACTCCTGCTCTAAATAGCGCCCTACCCAATGCGCATTTCTCATGTCGGCTGACTCATTGCCGGTATACGTGTTTGTGGCAATCTAAAACGAAACCATACATTACAAATCGTAAACCAATGCGTTGTTATGCTTTATAAATAAACTTTTCCCACTTGAGTTTTAACTCCGGTCCATATAAATGAACCTATGTTTCATTCGTAGTATATGTTGGACAGAAACGAATCACATTTAATGCCGTAGATCTGCAAGAACTCAGATGACGCGTCTACCCGTTTTTACATTTCTTCTGTTTTCAATAGACATAGTGCCTCTCTTGCGCATACTTTATAAATGTTATGTTCCTTTTTATTATTCATGTAATCCATTTATAAACAACGATGTCTTCTGTGAGACGTCTGTCTTTTTCAAATATTGTTATAACGCGAACTACGATATTTCGGCTGTTCTACTTTCGGTCGTCCGGAGCGTGTCTTATCCAATACACTGTTACCCCGGTGTTTAATCTGTTGTGCCCTTTAAACACAAGTTGCTTGTAACAATTTTTGGTGGAATAAGTTTCGAAGATAAAAGTCTAAGTCGGTGTCATAATAGAGTTCAATGAAGTTTATAATTAGAACGTTGCTTCGTCCTTGAAATTGACATATTTTTTGCAACAGTTTTTACCCTTTAATATTTACTAAATATTATGCAAATAACTATGATGTCACGTTAACAAAAGAAAGTGCGCGCTAAAATTTCAGTTTTTAGCAAATTCTTATTTGAGAAGCCATATTAATGAAATCAAAGTGCTCGTGAAACGTTGATCATGACTGCTTATATTCATTTTATAACCTTGTCGATTTTTTAACGATTTTTTCGACAGCCCTCGTACATTGGCTGATTCCATATTCTTCTCTTAAGACTGTTAACATATTATTATTTTTCTCTGAAAAAGTAAGTAGTGTTGGACATTTTGCAACATAAAGAAAGAATTGTTGATAATTGATATAAAGGTTATGTTCTCAATATTTAAATATCTTTTTATGCTGATTATTTTATCTTCAGTTGTTAAAATCGATGTACATACTATTGTCTTCCTTAAATTTTGACTGTGCTTTTTCATTTCATGCATCTGCATCAATACTATCAGTACTAAGGTCCACAAGGTAAAAAAGGGATTTTGTTCTCTTTTACATAGTATTATCCTTGGTATGATGTTATTTATGTGGTCTCATTTCTTGAACGTGCTTTACAGTTATTATGTTTAGGTAAGCCTGGCAAGTTTCATCATTAGTTATGTCGCTATTTTTTTATTATATCATCAGATATAAGATCATAAATCAACCATAAGTTATCGTCAACACCAATTGAAATCGTACTATTTAACGTCTTTTTTTAAATGCTAGAGGTTAATGGTATGGTTGGATATCTTGAGGACATTTGATTCTACACGTGATTCTGTTAATCTTTCTCAAGAAGTTTTAAATCATAAACAGAAGACTTGATTTATCAGTAGCATTAAAAATATTCCTTTTTTAAATTTACATTTATCCTTAATATTTGTTTTAAATGTAATCATACGGATCAACAATATACTTTTTTCACTTTATATTACAGTTTTCCTTGTGATTCTCACAGTCTTAATAAAATCAACACAGGTTCATGGTTTCTATTAAAAGGTTTTTGTCTTAAAGTGTAATAGGATAAAACTAATCATGATCTCATTGAAATGTTTCTTGTCTACCGTTGCTTCGTAACATAAAAGAAATTTAAAATCATTACAGTTGTCCTTGTTGACACAAAAGGTATACGTTTTTTGATGACATGTGTATTAACTTACAATGTTAACAAACTGGTAAATAAACCCTTTTGCGCTTATTCTGAACTCTACAAAATTTAAAAGTTTTTTTTTTATAAATATTTTTATTACTTTTACCGTGATCCTTAAAGATACATTCGATTGTATTATTTCGTCAAATCTCAACTTTAACGCCAAATCTACAAATCACAATAAAAAACACGGTAGCTTTTAAACTTAATTTAGTATCTTCATAATATATATTGACATATTCATTTCAACGGGAAATACATTATTCGTAATTTGAACATATCCGTGCAATTTTTGAAAAACCTTAAACAAGCAAACAGCAGCAAAAATGTCAGGTTTAATATCTTTATGGAAGTCAATTTAAATATTAGTTTCTTTTGAAAAAAAAAACGGGGGGAAATATTGATTCGGCTAAGATTTTCTTAATACCGCCATTGCAACATTCTTTCTAACATTTGTTAAACATCTTTATTTATAATGCCAATACATTCCATGTTGAAAACTAATGGACCAGTGCTGATTATGTAATAATATAATGGATAAACTTATAGAAAACTACACAACAATAACAACAACAGATACTTTAATTGCATTCAAGTCACATAAATACAATGACATGATCAATATTTTCTAATTGTGGGCATTTGAATTATATTTTCAAACCATATCCAATAAAATAGAATGACTTTAGCTATAATGACAGTAATATAAGTAACGGGGGGCAGTAGATTTCGTATGTAACAATTTAACAAGATACAATGTTTAGAATTAGTAGTAAGATTTTTTTCTCTAGATAATTAAAGGGGGGACAGTAGTTTTCGTATGTAACAATTTAACAAGATACAATGTTTAGAATTAGTAGTAAGATTTTTTTCTCTAGATAAATAAAGTATTTTCGTATATAAAAACAAATTGAATAGGTAATTTTAAATGTACAAAACTATTACTTCAATTGTCCGATGACAGAAACATCTGTTACAGGATTATCCAGGATTTTTGCTTAATCGCTTAATCTGTGTATTCATTTAATATCGACATGTCCATCCGATTTAAAATATTAGCCATACATTTACATGTTTTATTTCCAGTATTCATTGTTTGATATCTGGAGACCCGATTGTCTTATTAAAACGTGTTTCCCCGATAATCCTTAGTCCATACTTTTGTCAATATTTACTTACAAATTATACCCAGAAAAAAATCATCATATGTCTATGATTTTTTTAATCGCTCACCTTTCATCGCACGTTTATTTATTGGAGAATGGATATCTCAGAATATTGGTGAGATTCTCCCATTGTTTTAGAGTAAACAGAAATTTTATCCCTTTAGCTAATTTGCAATTAGATCGATAATTAGAACATCTGAATATCCACTTTGTTCTGTTAAGTTCAGTTCACTATTCTACACATACTATTATACATTTCACGTATTAATTCGTGAAATATGTCTCTGACTGGGTGTAAAACTATCATTTTTGTCTTCAATATTTTAACGATCGTGCACATATGTTGTGCAAACCAGAATGTCAAACATAAAGCTAGGATAAACTATAAACTTAAAAATGAATATGTATCGGACGAAATAGATTCAAAAAGTCTAGCTAGCTGCTTGATTAATTGTTCCTCGCAGCAAGATTGTATTTCGGCATCATTTAAATCACCGACAGAAAAGTGTTTGTTGTCGTCGTATGATACAATTTGTGACAGCGGAAGTGGACCTAGTTTTTTGACGGGAATAGTATTTGCAGAGGGGTGGACAACAATGACAAGGATAAAATACCCAGGTAAAAAACTTAACATTGTTGGTGTCTTTTTATAAAAAAAAAATAGACAGATTAAAAAATAGAAGATTTATGGTTAGGAAACTACCCGCCTATATGACTGAAATATTGTTGGGAAAAGGCGTAAAATGAAACAAACAAACAAACAAACAAACAAACAAAACTGTTACTGTCGGACAATGATTTAATTTATGACGACCAATATGTACTTATTACATCAAGGTATTTATTATGAAGGTAAAGCTAAGGCTGTAAACTTGATTAAATAATACAACAGATGGCAATATATTAGACATTTATCAGGTGCAGTCATGACCATAGATAAAAGCGAACACATTTAATTTGCCAACGGCAAACGGTTCCAGTTAAATCTTAAATTAAAGCATTTAAACAAACACACAAGCACTGAACGTTTATCAAAGCGTATGACCAGAAAACAGTAAAGATATATTTTGTACATACGATGGCTGATCTAATGGATATTTTTTATTATTGTAATAAATGTTAAAAATTTATTTCTAAAAGTCCATTAGTATGCTTAAACGGACAGTGATATTTAATTCCGATTTATAACTTTTACTGTATTTTGAGTTTCTGAAATTGTTTATACTAACACATTCTAGCTTATTCGGGTGTACTGTTTAGTTGGTAATTTCAATTATGTATCAATTTGTTTTGTTTCAGAAATGGTAAAGTCAATACTTTGTTGATACTTCCTTAATTTTATATATTTGAAATGTAAGTGTCATAAAGTATTAAATTATTGTTAAAAAGGAATTGCCAAAGAGATCAGTCATAACAGAAAAAAGTATCATTGTTACGGCAACTATGTTGGCTAAATCGCTACTAGTTTGCTTTTAATCATATATATAAGGCATCTTCATTATTCACAACGTACCAGTATAATAAAGTATTGTAGATAAAGATATGGCAAGGATTAATCATTTATCGTTTTTCAAAGAGTATAAAGCTATATATCTGATGCAAAAATATTGTTTGAATTTTAAAAAGTATGCTTCCAAAATGCTTGTATGAAATAAATATGGAAACTTATTGCCTTTGAAGAGAATGGCGCACGTACAAAATATAAAACCCTACTTAAAGTAGCAAAATAATATTTTGTTCCGGAAAATTTTATTCTGTTTACGTACATTCTATGTAACAACTTTTCCGGGAATCAACCATGTAAATTATGGAACCAATATAATTTTACTGTTGATAGATTTAATTAAAACATTTTTTCATGAGATAAAGATTTATACCCTTTAAACAATTCATCGGTGTATGTATGTGTAATTAAGCTTATATTGTTGCTTTTGTAATATTGAAAAGCGCCAAAAATAAAGTTATGTGTCTAAAAACGGCAAACAAAGTACCGTATATGAATATTTAGCAGTATCATCGAAACAAGTCTTATAAGTTTCAATGAATTTGTTGTTTACGTGATGTATCTTCTTCAGCCAAAATAAGTATATTTAAGAAAATGGCATATGAATTTACATCTGCAAATGTTTTCCATTTTAAACTCGCCAACATTTTTATTTTTAAGGTAAGATACCCGTAATGGGCACTCTAAGGATATGTAAAATTTACCATATTGGTCATTTATTTGCCTTTGATGACACATTTGTGCAAAATTTAAACAAAGTTTACCATATGGTTTACGGGACATTTTTGTGAAGTTGTTGCGGACATCTCATTAATTTTTAAGGCAGAAAATAAACACACAATCTGACAAAAGTTCAGATTTACTTATTTCTTTTATGTAGATCTGATGACGTCCGTTTGTCTTTCGCCCTCTATATAATTCGGAAAATTCCCGAGAATAATAATATTTGTCATATGTTGCGGTTTGGACCGGAATATCCTTCCCGAGGGGACCCGCCCATTGGGCGGTAACGAGGCTTGCCATGCCAGATGAAATTTCCGGAATGGGTAAAACTCACGGAAACGCCAGTCTGCTATGCAAGAAAGCTATTTCTAGCCCTGCAATCAAACCGGTTTTTACATAGGCATTAGAAGAAGTATCAAAATTCCGTTATCCGTGGAAGTTAAGCAAATTGTTGATTTTTGTTAGAAGAAAAATGTTTGAAGTAATTTTTAACATTATTAACTTGAAATAATAGAGTCAATTTTTAATGGGCAATATTGTTTTGCCAGTTTACATGTCGGTTTTATTGACAACGCCATTTTTGTTCTCGAAATCGTGAATAATACCTACTCAGTATTGGTTTTCCAAGAGTTAATTTAGAAACCACATCGCTTTCAAAATTATGAAAGCTCGCCGATTAAAAGGTCACCAGAAATAATTTCGTATTCACGAGCAGATCTTAAAGTGGAGCGTTATTTAGAGCTGATATTTATCACATTGATAAATACAATACTTTTAGCCACATTGGAAAAATTATTTTGTTCTATATTTTCATAGTTTAAATTTCACAATATCAAGTAATATCCAACAAGTTATTTTACCAAATTTTGTAACTATCATTTAGAATTTTATCATTTACGACCAAAAAGTTCAAAAGAAAGAAAACGAATAAAAGTTTTGAGAATGATTCACAGCTGTTATACTCTTCGTAAGTCCTTGATAAGTCATGACATCCGTGATAATGCTCCGTTGCACGAGTAAAATGTTGCAAATATACTCCATCACTAATTGCTCCTCTTATAAAATCCTTATGTACAAAATGCTCCGCTTACTTTCAATAAACTCCACCTAACTGGCATAGATAAGAGCTATTCAATTTCGAAGATAAAAAAACAACAAAAAACAAAATAAGAGACAAAATAAATGAATATTGTTCAGGACAGAATTAAAACCTTGCCATTGGAAGTGAAGAAAGCATAAACGATCTATCATCCTTATGGAAAAATATTCTCCCATTTATTCTTGCTATGAAACAAATAATAACATTCAGCACAATCTCAGAAAGCCAAATCTGTGTTTCTTCTAAAGAATCACGTCATATGCACAGAAATGTTACCCTGCCCTTCCCATGATTTAACACTTTTTTGACCATTTTCCTAGTAAGACAGCCTATTTAAAAAAAGATTCTAAAAATTACCAAATTGAGGGGCAATTTTCAAAGTTTCCCTATCTTTTCAAAAGTATATTAGATGATCTTTTAAAATGTTAAAAATATTTTTAACAAGTAGTTTTGATTTAATTAGACTTTTAAGATATCAGGTACCATATTTTTATTCGATTGAGCAAATAAATACCCATATTAATTATATAATTTAAATTAAACTTTTTTTTCAAAAAGGAATATACGAGATACATTAAAAATGTAAAAAAAAAGAAAGAAAGGAAAAAAATGACGCATCTGGGTTTGAACCCACGCCGCTTAGTTTCAAAGCAGTTGACAGTAATTCTAGGCTATTTGAATAGTCTTTAATGCTGAGATTATGCATTTGGGAACTCTTACCTTAAATGTAAATTTCTGTTCAATCCAATGCTAAGAACCGTGGACGATGGCGGCTAGCATTCCATATATAGGCTCAATCAGACCAAACATTTTAAATTTTGCGTTTATAGACTTCCCCTTTCAAAGTTCCATTTTTTTCTAGTTCCGCCTGTTGTTTACTCGTTTATCTCGTTTAGAGCATACGCTTTCTATCACTTGGGACCATACCCCGCTTTTCATGGAATTGCACTTAGTGTCACATTGAAGGTTCCAATTTCGGATGATTCTAAATTCAAAAATTTACCATAATCATAATTAAATGTTGAATTCTGCTTCAGCCGATGCTAGGGGGGGGGGGGGGGGGGCGTTGACAGTAGTTTGCACTTGACGGTACCGCCCATCAAACCGAGTCTGCAACATTTTTGAATTTGCCATTATGGACTTTCTTTTTTATTTTTTAAATTAAGTGATTTAGCTTATAAGCAAGTGTGACTATATCTTTCACGAAATACTCTTGTAATTCGTTTGACTTGACTTTTCTTAAAAAGTAGATATATAGTGGACTTGTTATCAATATTATTAATTAGTTCTAGGGCCAAGGTTCAAATTAATTATTTACTCTTTCAACACTCTTCACAAATCGTTTAGAGCAAAGAACCACTTAAGCTTATCTTTTTATCACCAAAACAAAAGTTTAATAGAGTTTACAGAACCCTTATAAATATATCAGCTCGCTGTATTTAAATTTCCTTTCATCTAACATTTCTCTTTATTTCTTGTATTCCCATTATATCAATCGTATTTTTTACAGCAGGGAAAGGCGGAAATGCGATAACACAGTGTGAAGAAGCAAAAACGAAATCAAAAAAAGGAAAATGAAAATGAAAAAAAAATATGCTAGATGTGGTTTGTCAAGAAAATTTTCAATCTTGACAAAAATACCGAGGTGCAGATCATTAATTCTTAGAACTGCTGGCATCAATCGTGACATTTGACAATGGTTTCAAACTATTCTTTTCCTTTAGTTTGTATTTATTTTAATTGGTTGATACATCTAAGTAAAAAATATCATGTCTCTTCAAGATAAAGGGGATATTTCTTTTGAGCTTCTGAAAATACGCGTAGTTCACAATTTCAAAATTATTTTAACACCTTCTAGCTAATCGAAGTGTAATTTTAAAATGTTAATTTCAATTTTTTATCGATTTGCTTTTTTTCTGAAATTTTAAAATCAAAACTTGGTTGATGCTTCCTATTTTTAATATATTTAAAATGTGAGTGTCATAAAATACCAAACTGTTGTCAAAGAGATCAGTCATTACAGGAAAAGTCTCATTTGAAAAAGAAATGTTACCGAAACTGTGTTGGCTACATATGTTTACAGTGAAAATAATCTTTTATTTTATTGATGCGCCTCAAGTACACTATATTTATACACCGAAAAGAACGTTATGCACGGCCGTGCAATACCATTTTTACGGAGTTGCGAAAGAAGCACGGATATGTGTAAAATACAGTTAACAAATTTTAAGTTCATATTTATAAATTATACATCTATTACTAAATTAAGGTTTATCATCAAATTCTCATTTGAGAGTGAAGATAATTATTTTTGCCTTTCCATTTGCTGAGTATGAGAATAGAATGTCTTTACAGTACAGAGTTATAGGATCTAAATTGTAAATGAATAATAATAAACAATCATTTCATTGCACAAAACAATTGTTTAAGACTACAATTAATTTGTTCATTATATTTCAAAGCATATATGCATGTATGTTATATTTCAGACACTACAATGTGTCCTGATGGATGGACGTACTTCGAGAATTCATGTTACTTATTCGGGAGTAATGATCTTAAATTCTACGAAGCTCAAGTAAAAGCAATTTAATATTCGTAAACCGAGAAATGACCTGACATGGTTAAAACAGGCATAAAATAAACAATTTTTATAGTGACTTTGTGTAATATTATATTGACAACTAACTGCTTTTATGAGAGTAGAGATCATTGGAGAGCAATTGAAAACACACATAATGAAAATAATGAAATAAAAAAAAATATTGTTATACTTGTCAAAAATATGTTCGTCGATAAAAAATTGTCTATAAACAGAACGAGCTATGAAGACATTGCATTTCTGTGACAGGTTAACTATATAATTGCTCTCATGCAAGTAAATGTAAATTTAATCGATTCATTATGTACTGTTAATAAAACAACACAAAGGCACGAGCTAAGATTGCTATATTTAGTCATAGAAGTCGCTTCAAGCTGCACGATTGCTAGTCATGCTTTTTTTCTTCTCAAAAGTGAACATAAAAATGATATAATGATAACATGGTAAACATGAACAGAACAGAACATAATTTTATTTAGGATTTGTACATAGTACATCATCACTGCAATATAAATACACACATTGTAAATATGTCACGTTTCTATTTTATATATTAACAAACAATAAAGGATTTAATATATAATATTGAATTCCATGTAAAGTTGGAGAATGAACAATTCTGGATTAAAAATTAAGAGGTTATTATCATCACTTGTAATATAATTTCCTAAGCAGAGTATAAACATATTTGATACAACAAATCAATTGAAATTTGAGTATAAATTTGTAACAAATATAGAATTTAAGTGTTAGTACTAACAAAAGTGTTCCTGATTTTAATCGATTCTCTCAGATATTTAGCTAGATTCATTAGTATAATTTTATTATTAGAAGAAATCAGCTCAATAAATTTACACATAGATGGTCTTTTGTAATAATATTGTTTCACATATTTTTTCCTTATGTCTACATAGCATGGGCATATCAAAACAAAATGGTATTCATCTTCCAAATCCATAGTATTACAAAATAAACAATATCTTTCACTCCTTGGGATTCTATTTTGCCCATATCTACCCGTTTGTACCCTTAGTGTATGTGCAGACATTCTAATTCTTGTGATGTAAAATCTAAGATTCTTAGGCAATATGTTAAGGTAGTTTTCGTATGAAAATAATTCTTTACAATTTTTATACAGTTAGGTAAACATGATTAATAAGAATCTCCATTATTAGCCGTATGTTTTCCCCATATACGTATATAAAATAGTTTCATTATGAGTTCTGTTTTTGTTTCCTCAGTGCTTTTGCAGTCAGTTCGATGCCAATCTCGTGAACATAGAAAGTGTTGCTGAAAATGATTTTCTTAGAGGCATTCTGTTGCAACAAGAAGGTAAATGTGAAATTAATTATTGTCTAGAACATTGTTGAATATGCGACACTCAATAGTGGCCTATAACCTATCTAAATGTGGTAAATATACTAAAAATAGTCTGTTTTAACACATGCTTTACAAACTATAATAAGTATTTAAACAAGATTCACAAGCTGTTTTTTGTGTGTATAATGTTATCAATAGACATACAAAATATGTACAAATTGTCTCATTCAATTTGTGTATTTTAATCTTACTTTTATAACACAAATTTGATAATAACGACAAATTTAGTGAATTCTTATTTTGTGTACTCTTGTTTCTATTAATCGGAACATTGTATTGAACAAATTACAAAGAGGGTCTCCTCGTGTATGGTCAGTTTCTCAAATGGAACCTTCTCAGATCTTCCATTTTTGGTCGTTTGGTTTAAGTATGAGGATTTTGCATCGTTTTGATTTAGTATGAGAATTTGTTTCATTCTTTATATAAAAACTTTGTACGCACAAGTATATATTCAGACAAATTCTGGCATATATTTGCACGGTCATGTAATATAATTAAATCTTACGATTGGTTAGGTACAATTATACTCATTTCTTTCAATTTTTTTAAAGCAAAATATTTTTTATTTTTCAATTTTAAAGATTTATCGAACTTAATGAATCTATCGTTCGAAGAGTAATATGAAAATGCAGATTCAAGATTGTATATAATGTATAATTGTAAAGGAATGTTACCCTGATCAATGTCTGTAGGTAATAACGAAGTCAGTAACGCACCGACGACTCCACTTCATTAGTTCTCAGAGTTGTAAATGGTAAATTTTCTTTCTGGTTGTGTAATTTCATTTTATGATCAAAGTATAGAATAAACGATGCATTAAATTAACTATGATTTATTCATATTCTACACAGCGCCAAAACACTGGATTGGCATGACCGATTATGATATTGAAGATGACTGGAGGCACTTCCCGTCTTTGAAGGCAGTCACATGGTTTGATTGGGGGCCATACCAGCCGAATAATGGTAGAGTTTCCAACTGTGCGGGAATTTGGCAAAGTTTCGACACCCGCTGGGTCGATGAACCCTGCACAAACTTATTTCGACCGATATGTGAACGAAAGTAATAATCAGTTTCTTACCATGTATTTAATCTATACAGAATTTATTTTCGATTGTATAGAATGCTAAAAGAGGCTAAGAGAGAATCATATTATATTTATTGTTCTTGTGATATTTTTATCTCTATAGTCTTGAGGTCAGTGTAATACAGCATATGAAATGTCTATCATATCTATAGCATATTTGGTCCTCAAAATGTAGTGAAAGTCTGTATAATATGATATCATATATTATCTTATTCTTTATAGATGCTATAAATGGCATCAGTCTGCAATAACTAGTCTGGGTATTAACACCAGTTTGTCTTATTGTCGTAAAACACACCAATGACAAATCGTCAATAAATTCTAGTATTCATGAAAACCACAGCATATTTAATTTCTTAAAACATTTATGCATTATAGGAACATATCAATCAAAGATCAGAGTATTACCGTAAATGTTATTTTTTCTTGCAGGGGGAACGTCAATAGATAAGAAGTATCTTTGTTGAGTGTACCAATTTAGCAAGGAATTTTCAAAATATACAAGACTTGATTTCAGAAGATCGTTATTTTGATTATATTGTGTATTGCTAACCTGTGTTGTTTATATTACGAACAGATAGATATTGCTTACCCTGGTTTAAATTATAACGAATATTGCTGACCTGAGCTAGCTTTGGTTGAGCTTATAGGATCTCGTCTGTCGTTCAACGTTCGTCCACATTTGTTCGTTAACACTCTAGTGGTCACATTTTCTCCACAATCAACAGTTAGAACGTGGGTGACCACGGATGAAAAACTAGGTCACAGAAGCTAAAAATAGAAAAACCTTGTTAACACTCTAGTGACCACTGTTTCAATCCAAATATCTTGGAAATTGGTTTGAAAGTTTGTTTTGATGATCTCTAGGTCAGTTTAGAATATCAGTTACCTATGGTCAAAAACTAGGTCATACTGCCCAAATATGGAAAAACCTTGTTAACACTCTAGTGGTCACATGTTTGAGTCAATTGTCATCAAATTTGGTCAGGATGCTTGTCTAGTTAATTGCTGGGATGAATATGAACATATGTCATCTCTGATTTACAGGAGCTAAAATAGTAAATCTTGGCTACTGTTTTGATCCAAATATCCTGAAAATCGGTCTGTAAATGATTTCTAGGTCAGTTTCGGATATGGGTCACCTAGGACAAATAAACTAGCCAAATATGGAAAAACCTTGTTAACACTCTAGTGGTCAAATCTTTGACTCAGTTGTTACCAAACTTGTCAAAATGCTTGTCACAGTAATTGCTCGGATGAGTTCGATGGGTCAGGTGAGCAATTAACGGCCATCTTGACCCTGTTGTTTATATTGTAATATGTATTTCTTACCTGTGATTTTATTGTAATAGATAGTAAAAAAAATTATATTTGATTCAATAATAATTATTTTAATTTGGAAAGAGAATACTTCCAAAATACCTGTATGAAAGAAACATATACATTTTTATTTTGTACTCAATACTCTTCCTTTAAAAATTATATATATATATATATACAAAAAATGAAAACAAGTGCCATATAAATAAAACGAAAAACACAGTCCATGAGTTCACTTATTTAATTATTTGCCAACCGGTTTCTCTTAATTAAAAATCATCATACATACCTTTTTTGTTGATAGTAATGTCTATAAAATACATGTGGTTGAATATGATAAATATTGTAAACAGGTACTTTTTATATACATATTACTTAGCCCTGCTTACCTTTTGAAGCATAAATCGTTATTATTCAACTGAGTTTTGTCTTCTTATTTCCATTTTTTTCATTTGTGCAACATTTAACCACACCTTACGAATACGTGTTTTGTAATTTAAAATTTTACCATTTCTTTAAAAATGTTGAATTCTTCGTAGGTCAGTGCTGGAAAGTGTAAACGGAAGCTTGCAATTTATAGTATTGTCCATGAACAAAATCAATTAATCGAGTATGAAACATTAACATTTTGCCATTTCGGACGTGTTGAGGGGATTTCATTTTTTTTGTTCAACCTACTTGACATTCTTAAACATATGAATTAATATTTAAGTTAGATCTTCTCTTTCCCTCAAAATTAAAACCAATACATGTAGTTTTTTATAAATAAGTATTTGTAATAATAATTTCAATTTAATTCCAAGAAATGTCGAACGACAAATATGCCCCCTTTCTAGTCCTTGACTCACTTTATTGGTAATTTTGTTATAAATGGGTGTTCAAGTGTTCAAGTTTTGAGAAAAGAAAAAAAATGGAGATAATTGTTTTTTTCAATATAATGAGCGGAAACCATTCTGACATTTAAGGTCCCTGTGACCTTTACCTTTGACCTAGTCACTCCAAAATCTATATGGGTCAACTACTAGTTATGACTAATCAATACGTGAAATATTAAGACTTTGTTATAAATAGTAACCAAGATAATGAGCGGAAATCATACTTTTATTCAAGGCTCTGTGACCTTGATCTTTAATCTAGTGACTCAAAAGTCAATAGGGCTTATCTATGTGAAATATGAAGACTTTGTAATAAATAAATTTCAAGATAATCAGCGGAAACCACTCTGACATTTAAGGCCCGTGTGATCTTGACCTTTGACCTAGTAACTTCAAAATCAATAGGGGTCATCTACTAGTTATGACCAATCACTATGTGAAATATGAAGACTTTGTGATAAATACTTTTCAAGATAATCCGCGGAATTTATGTTGTCTTCAAACCGACCGACATTAGCAGAACAATATAGACCATCTTCTTCGAAGGGGGAGGGGCACATTAGTATTATTTCGGTTCAAAATATTACAATTGAACCTGTTTAAACTGTGACTCGGATAATGAATAATGAAGTAGAACTGAATTGAAATATTATTTATGATTATCTCGGGAATAACATAGAGGACAAAGGCAACATTGTCGCAAAAACTCCCGTCATAAAAGCTTTTGAAGAGACGCGGGCATTATAGATATACATCGATCTCATTAAAATCAGATCATTTCGCTCCGTTACTCTTTGCTACCTAACGAAGGATAGTGGAGCGACAGCTAGGAGATAATTTTAGTGAGATTGAGATATGCATATAAAAGATATGCTCTGGGCAATATCCGGAAAATATCTGAATTTTTTATCATCTCTAGTTAACCTTGAACTTGCAAATATTAACCTGAATTACATGTTTCACACTTGTAATCATAATAGTTATCATTTGTTTTACAATTCATCAATAAATGATGACTAAGTTATCCCCGTACAAAACTTTGACCTCTACATGTGATATTGACTTTGGTAGCAGGGACCTGGATTATGTGCGCAATAAGCCTCACAATGGTAACTATTTGTGCCAAATTACAAAAATTCCCCGATGATCGAGATATTTGGCTCCGAACAGGCATTTTCCAATTACCTCTAAGTGTGACATTTAACCTAGAGACCTGCTTCATGCACGTTACACTGCTTCACATAGTGGTGAACATTTCTATCAAGTTTCATTAGACACCCTGGATGCGTTGAGGAGACATGCTCTTGACAATATTTTAAATTTTATCATCTTGACCGTGCATATATAAACATAAATTACACGTTTCAAACCAGTAGTTATGATAACGACAATTAGTGTTTCAATCCGTCAGTAAATGATAACTGCAATGTGCGAATATACATTTTCATATTTTTATCTGATCTTTGACCTTTATGTTGACTTGACCGCAGGGACCTAAATGTTGCGACACTCCGATTTACAATGGTGAACATTTGTGCAAAGTTATATTGAAATCCCTGATGCATGCAGAAGTTTTGCTCCAGACAAGCGTTTTTCAATTATCTTTACTTGTGATCTTGACCTTTGACCTAGAGACCTGGATCATGCGCACGACACGGCTTCTCTTAGTGGTGAACATTTCTATGAGGTTTCATTTAAATTCCTCCAAGCGTGAAGGAGTAGGCTTCGGACAAAAATTGGACACCGCCCGTCCACCGGAAGGGGGTGGGAAACTATAGTACAACCGGTTTTTCGAACGGGGGTATAAAAACGGAATCGCAAATAAAGAATACATGGTTGATGGTGGGATGGAGACTGTTTTTATCGGTGAGCAAGAAAGTGTATCTTTGCGAGCATTAGCTTTTTTCCCCAGGATAGGTCAACTGGTATTTAGATTTACACAAATTTGAAAGATACATATTTTGTCTTGTTTGGTGATCTTTAAAACTTACAGATGCGAATAATTGAAATCGCCCTGGACTGTCACTTGTCAAATATCAAAATATGTACATAACCAGTTTATATCTTCAATAGCTTCGTCATATCAGAAGCTAGGAAGCTGAGACCTTAAACCGAGTGTGTCATTATCAATGCTTTAAGGAATGGACATACATGTATTAAAGAATTTCAAAATAGCATACAAACCCACTTACCTGAAGAAAATGCGTGCGAATGTTGTAAATATTCATGACTCGGTAGCCATTTTGTCAAGTTTGCAACCCATTTCCGTGCTTGAACCAAGTGTGAAACCACTTCACGTTTTGCCCCTTGATTTCTGCTTACAATTACGTAAAATACATATACAATAATGTAAATACTCATTATTTAGCTGCATAGCAAAACAAAAAATACTGTGCTAAGATATATATTTTCGCATTGTTGTCAAAATGTTTATGTGTACGACGGGTTTTTGGTGCGATAAGATGCCTGTATGCCACAAAAGGTCCGATAATTTGACAGTGCTTAAAGCTACATAAAAGGTATACAATAAATAATCAGGGTCTGGGGAAGGGGGTTACTGTTTACTGACCGCATTTACACTTGGAAGTACTCACATAATTTCGCCACCTTTATTTCAAGAATTACCTCCCTTTGCTCTCTGATTTTCGTGATATATTTTTTATTCACTCTGTAGATTTTCTCTTCTCTCTATTTTATTACCGAAAAATTACTGAAATATATATACTCTATATAGTTTATTGGAGTGCTAAACAGAAATTTGATTTGACACTCTGTATTTCACTACGAATGATTGTGTCTGACACTAAAACTTCTTCGTATAGAATGGTGAAAAAATATCATAACTGAATTTTATTCTTCTTTACTAAAATGTTTTTACTTTTATAAAATATTTCCGTAAATTTTGAGGCACTTTAAAGAAAGTGACGAAAATGGGAGTGCGATCTGTGAGAATGCGTTACAAGATTGAAGAATGACAGATATTACCATTGTCAGTTTTAGGACAAACCAAGGGCAACATAAGAAAGAACTCGATAGTTTTGACAATTTATTCCAAAAAGAAACATCTCAAGCAATAGTGAACACGAATGCAAGAGAGATAATAGAGATAATGTGTACAATATTTATCCATTTTAGATATTTTGTACTTTGAATGTAAAATAACGTGATGCTAAAACTCCGATTGTTCTTCGTATTTTAATTCAAATGGTAAACAAATGTATGTTGAATCACAATTTACGCTTTCTGAATATTGAAAAAAATGTAAAAGCTCTTGATAGTGTTTCTGTTTTTATAAGTCGACATTATAAAATCATCATAAAATCTTTATCGTTGAATAATTTTCTCTTTCAATGTCTAGCTGACTAGTGGAAATGTCCTTCCCTGCTAAATATCATTCTACATTTTTTTCACATACATATGGGCTTAAGAATTTGCTCAGGCAACATCTTACACCATCAGGGAAAACATACAGTAAGCCAATATGCATTGTCATGTATGTCTAACGGATTTTTCGTTAAATTAGCACACACATTCCAAAATTTTCAAAATGAAGATGTGTCTAGAGCTTAACTTTTTTCACACACACACACACACACACACACACACACGCACACACACGCGCACGCGCACGCGCACGCACGCACGCACGTACGCGCGCACACACACACGCACGCACACATGCACGCAATCACGCACGTCACACCACAACTTTTTACTGAAAGAAAAACACATGTTTATCTAGATAGTCTTCTAATTTCACTGTTTCAGTGCATCGAATTAGAACTGTCCTTCCCCATTCTTGAATGCTATGACCATACGCATAATTTAAATATGATATAGTTAACTGTTCACTAAAGGAAACTGCCTTTCACCATACCACTAACTAATCGTAAATGCCGATCATATAAACGCATCGTAAGGAACCAAATTTTTGCGTACAGTGAGTTGATCGGACCAGTTATCATGCGCAGTAAAAAATAATTTTTTTAATTTGTTTTGTTATTGATTGTGAACATGTTTTTGCTATAACTTATCAAATATCTGTCTGTTGTTGTGTTCTATTTATAAGAATGTCAGATTGCCGATGATATTTGAAGTAGCAAATAACTCAATATCTCTCTCCTTACAATGAAATAGATTCTTTTATTTTGACCATCAAATACAAATATATCTTCCGCTCAGCATGCACTATATTATTCGGACAAAAGTTACAACATAAACAAATATTTGAAGCAAACTGGTTCATTACCACTTATTTTTTACTTTGCTCCGCCATTATTCCGTATTTCAAGATTTAGTCTCGCATAAAATGAATCGCACCGCTATAGGTTTGGCCCCATGAATATATATTACAAAACATGTGCAGAAAAATAATGACTGAGTGCTTCCCCAATATTATCGATTATTGGAGAGGTTGAAAAAACAATAATCTTAATAACATTATATATAACTTTTGTATCTTACAGCTAAGAGTCATTTCATAACGCCTTTCATTTCTGAAAATTACAAATTGTATACTTGAAATATGAGTGTTACTGGAATTAAAGTAATCATTTTTGTTTTCAAAATTATAACAATTATACAGATATGTTTAACAGAACAAAATCTCAAACATAAAGCTCGCATAAACTATAAAGTTAAAAATGAACATGTTTTGGACGAAATAGATGCACGAAGTCTAGCTGGCTGCTTGATTTATTGTTCGAACCAGCAAAATTGTATTACGGCGTCATTTAAATCGCCAAGAGAAAGATGTTTGTTGTCGTCGTATAATACAATTTGTGACAGCGGAAGTGGACATGCTTTTCTGACAGGAATCGTGTACGCAGAGGGATGGACTACTATGACAAACATAAAATACCCAAGTACAGTATTAACTATTTTATGAGTAGTAAATTTTATAATACTTAAAGAAATAAGAACAGATATGAAGAAAAATATATGAGTAATTGGACACCTATTGTCGTCGTTAGACAGAGTAATTACAGCAAATTTATACCTGGTTATTTTAAAGATTTCTTTCTTATAATAGACTTGAATGTTAATCAATACCGTTCAAAATGGAATATTTCAAACGACTAAAATGGTATCAAAGTTTCAACAGGCGGTAGGATTTAATTTGTTTTATTATTAAAGATATTATATATAGTTCTCTAAGCAATTCATCACTTGCATTCAGACCGCAATTCTATATATTATGAATTATTATATAATTATTACTGGAATATATGTAAATGTTACATTGTTATAACCAATTAATAGGTTGACCAAAATTTAACAATATTGTAAAAGAAAGATTTGACTTCTTGTAAAATTTATAAGTAGAATTTCAATTGGTCATTTCTAAATTTCATTCCGAATTCATTCATTCTCATTAGTCATTCTGAAATAAAGAAAACAATCTAAAGGATCTTCTATCAAACATTTTACAACATTTTCAACAGCTTTTGAAATTTCATTAGTTCCTAGGTAAAAACCTTATTTAAAATAAAAATTTAATGACCGAAATAACGAGAAATGGAAACGAATGTGTATAAAAATACCAAAAGCATCAAAATTAATATAAAACCCGCCAGAACTTTTCTGTTCATGATATTTAATTTTAATAGATGTTTTGCATTGATATAATTTGTTTATTTGTGTGTTCATTAAAAAATCAGTGTAACGTACATTTACGTAAACGTGACAGTTTCTTTTAGAAACATAATCTTGCAGTGTTTCATTGGATTTATCATTAAATGCTATGACGAAACTCCGGAATACCTATGCAAGTAAAGTAGTTTTAACTCTCCATGTATCTTTATAAAGATACTCTCGTTTGCTATGCACACGCACGCGGCGCGCACTTAATTATTATTAAAACATTTCAGACACTACGATGTGTCCGGATGGATGGACATACTTCAAGAATTCATGCTACTTGTTTGCTAGTAATGATCTTAAATTCTACGAAGCTCAGGTTAATATTTATTCAATTATAATATTTTAGCAATACAATCTTTACATAATTGGTGAAAGTAATTTAAATAATACGCCGCTTGTTTTATGTTGATAATGGATTGGATGATAATGTTACATAATTGGCATGGTTAAATGATACTGGCTCTGAGAATTGGTCGAGGACAGATGTATTGTACGCACAATCGTTCATTTACTATACATGTATAAAACTTCAGGCTTTTTGCAGTCCAAGATATTACAAACAAGTCCGAGTGGCACGTTGAGAGTTTTTTCATAGCTGCAAATTTAATTGATTTATTAATACTGACGATGAAATCTGAACAAAATGAGGATAAGATTTGGATTGCTAAATTAATTAAAAGAAGTTGCAATTGTTTTGTGTTTATGTCTAAATCAAACTTAAAGTTTACGAATGTAATATTAACATCAATCTTTCTTTTTTTAAACATTGAAAATTAGAAATTAAAAAAATTACAAATTAATCAATATTTGCTATTTTATTTTATTCAGTGCTATTGCAGTCAGTTTGAAGCTGATCTTGTGAACATAGAAGATTCTGTTGAAAATGAATTTGTTAGAGGTATTCTGATGACCTTAGAAGGTAAATGTGGTATTTTTGATATTGCACTAGTTGTCTGGTAGTACACATATTTGTTTTGGTTTAATACTCATTTTAACCCCTT